ATAAATAAAGTGACAGAGAGCATCACCAGTGGCACCGCTTGGCCCCATGGGAAACACATTACTCACCCACCTTCAGGCACCAGAGATCTGCACAGCACAGAACAAGTTGCTGCATAATGATTCACAGTCAGAGAGGAGGAGACTTGCATAACAGCCAGATCTATATTTCCCTTTTCCCACAGTCAGTCTTTAAATAATAATAATAAACCTCACATATTCAGACTCGTTGGGGCGCACAGGCAGGTGGATGGGACACAACATCAGTGTCAGGACTGCACACATCCACAAGGCCTCCAGGACTTGACTCATATGCATCAAAATCTTTGAAATGTTTAACTCAGATAATAAGCAATGAATGGTTTGAATGCTGGGTGATGATGCAGATGGGGGGGGGGGGGGGGATCCATGAGTTTCATCTATTCCGGCAATAATCCCCATATGATCAAAACTAAGGACCAGTGAGGGGTGAATGGCTTAATCTGAAGCCAGTGTGTTRTTTATAATTTCTTGTAATCGTGACTTGATCCACTGCAGCAGCTGAGTCTCACCTCGGTGGCACAGAGGAGCTAAAAGCTGAGCTGGACTGAACGAAAAACACGCTCAGCTTCCCACATTTCAGCTGCCATCAAACCAAACATCCATCATGCACTGAACCCTTTGGTCCAGACGTCCTACCTTCGGACAGCTCCAGGTCCAACTCGGCCAGCTGGTCCCTGACCTCTTTAGGCAGAGCCGACAGATCAACACCGCGGTCCGTCATCGTCGGGGGGCAGCAGGGAGATGTTTTCTTGTAATTTCAGACAACAATGCAGCCCAGCATGAAGCTACGACTAAAACAAAAAAATATTAGCATGTGGAAGCGGTGTTGTTTACTCCATCTCCGCGGCTCTCCGACACCGCCATGGCTGTGGGAGAGATGGGAAGAAGTCGGCGGAGGACTCGGTCAGTCACGTGACCMGGGTCGACGGAGGCTGCTGTGGGTTGACTGATGAGTAAACCCGGCTCCACGGCGCCCTCTGCTGGTAGGTTTTATTTCACAACTGTGGCGACAAAAGTATTGATAATTTATTTAAATWAAAAAATTCAGTAAATATATTGATTCCTCTATTTTTGTGCTTCTTCAGCAATTAATTAGAACGTTCAGCTTCAGGAAATTCTATGACTTCTGGTCCTCCATTAATTTAGCTTTTTCCTCATTGAAACATCCTAAAATCCTTCAAATATAGCCAGAAACCTTTATCGCACTTTAAACCTTTTGTTGTGCTTCTGCTTTTTTTTATTTGTTTCTACTTTGTGCTAATTTTAGCTTCCTTCAGATTCAATTTACCTGATTTTAGCCATCATTTTGACATTTTCTCCTACCCTTCTGCAAAAGGCATTTYGATAGTTCTTTCAACTGCTTCTGCTTTCTGCTGATTCAAGCTGTTCCCTGGGTTTTTAGCTAATTTGAAMATTTTTCAGCTAAATTTACTTTTTGGGATAATTTCAGCTTTTTATTGCTTAACTCAGCAAACATGCTTTCTTTGTACTAATTTCAGATGCTTTAAAAAACATTTTTTAGGCTAGTTTAAGCTTTATTTTAGGTGTTCAGCAAAAATCCTTCAGTATGTCATTCAAAGTGGATTTTTGCAGGAAAYGCAAACCATCAAGTTTGCTCTCAAAAGAAAACAGTCTTTGCTCACCTCTTTGATTCCAGTAAGGCCAAGAAGAAAACCCAATAGCTGCTAGTTTTATTTTATTTTTTGTCTGAGACAACTCATTAATTAGTTGAGATTTTACACAAGTATTTCTTCCCATCTTGAAGCCTGAGTAATGGGCAAACTCACCTCCAATACATGTTTGTTACCCCCCATGTAGTTCAGCCTCAGTTAAAAATACAAAATAAAAATAAAATAAAGACCTTTACTCAACAAATTATGGGTACACAGAGGATGTAAGGGCACATGATTTCCATAGAGAAAAGTACAATCTGTTAAAAGTTGAGAATGGAGAAAAAAAGAGTGACAAGTGGAAAAGAAAAACAAGATGGGAGATATTGTTATAAAAAAACATGAAAAGCACCTTGCACAAAGTATGAGGTCTGCTTTACGATAAAAGACTTTTTGTTTTATGGTGAAAAGCCCTCAACAACAGAACATCTGCAACTACATGTGCACTAATTAACCCATTAAAACCTGTCTTTACATTTGCTTTGGTCACCTTATAACTACAGCTTCTGACTGAAACAGACCAAACCTCTCTCAACACTACACATCAGCTCAAAGAAAGTACATTAATTTAAAAGAAAAGAAAAATATATTGCACTACTCTTTCCACAACTGCAATGGTTGGGTATAGGACGTAAAGTCTATTGTTTGATTACCATTCAAATGTCTCCTAAAAGACTATCTGTTGTAAGTGCGGTACATTAGGCCTGTGGATGAAATCTTCATACAAGTACTTATTTTTGGCATCGGTAACTTGATGTCACAAAACAGAACAGTGATTTTATAATGGGTTACGTACAAACAGTGGTATTTGTTTAGTCTTGCAAAATCCATGCAGTCAATAGGGTTTGTTTAAAAAAAGACTAATATGACATTCGCTCTAAATGGATTAAAAGATGGTCACACAATCTCAGCCTAAACAGTGCACATCTACAATTTGTTATGAACTCTGCTGACTAAACTGTTGAGTGTATTTATGAAGAAATCAAAGGAAAATGTAAAATTACAGAACAGAACAAAAAGGAAGTAAAAAACAAACACGGCAGCCAGCCAATAGCTCACCATAGTTTAACAGCACAAAGAAAACATCACATGAACATCATATCTTAGGAATAAAAAAAAAGAAGACAACCTTTTTTTTAACAAATAAAAAAAGAGCATTATTTTTACAGTAAAATAGCCAGCCTGGAAAGAAACAAACCTCATCACAGCCAGTGTGTGGGAACGACTTTGATTGTTGCTGCTTCCTGATCTAAAAACCAACAATTAAAGGAAAAAATAAAATAAATTTCTTCCAGATCTAAAACCTAATCCAACATGACAAGAACAGCCTAGAACCCTGCAGAATGAGTGTTCAACATGTTTTCCATATTTACATATGCAGAGTGACGGCGATCCGGTGGAGAGGAAGCCAGCTGGAAGTGGAGGGGGGGCTGACGGAGAAACTGCGTTTTGTTTGTGTGTGATTATCATAAGCTGTGAGAGGAGAAGGTATCTGAGTTATGTGGCGAGGGTGGGGCCCTCTTCACTACACACTTTGCACCAGTCCGGCCTTTAAATGCCACTCCAGTTCATTCTGGTCAAMCTTTTCTTTTTTTAAGTTATTTTTTGTTTCCCTCCCCACACACACACATCATCTTGTAGTTGGCTGCGACTGCGTTGCCATGACAACCCCTCCCGGGTGACCCGACCCCATGCCGGCCAGGACCGACATGGCCACGGCCTCTGCGGCGCGAACGCTCAGCCCGTTGATGGTGGCCACGGGGCTGGGAGCCGAGGCGGRGGGCGACGGCCCGCGCTGGATGACTGCAGCCGGGGAGCCGATGGGTTCCGTGCAGACGTCCCTGCAGGCCTCGTCTCCTCCTGCAGCTGCAGAAAGACAGAGCAACATTCACCCTTAGAGAGGCGGGCGAGTAAAAACAGCACATTAGCTGGATGAGATGACGGGTGATTCATGGCACAAAGTGTTTTGGAACTGGACGTTTCCTAGTGCGTTGATGATCTTTAACGATTACCGAGGAAAACCGCCTTCTTCTGCATGACAGTGACGGGGCAGTCTTTGTGAGCCAGGAGGAGCTGTTTCAGCTGAGCCACCTCGTTCCTTAAAAGAGTTACTTCATTCTGGCAACAGAAAACATGTTAGATATTCAAAAGAAAACCCATTGGAAAATGTGTTTTTATGGTTTAGTCACAATCGTGRAAACGACTCACTGTTAATGAGACGTTCATGCTGGCCAGGTCCTCTGCCTTTTTCTCTAAAGAGTTGACCCACAGCTTCCGTTTCTGTCGGCAGCGCGAAGCAGCGGCCCGGTTCCTTTCCAGAAAGCGCTGCCTCCTCTCGTCTGGGTCCATCTCCGAGGCACGCCGCCGCCGACCCCCTGTTGGCTGAGCAGGGGACACCTGTAGGATGAGGAGGGGGCATAAAACGAGATGCTTTGAGWCATAGTTATTACTTAATAATTATTTAATAAAGACAAATAATGGCTCATTTTTATCTGTTAAACATCTTTCATATTTAAGCAACGTAAATAATGATCAGTTCTCTGTTTTGAGAAGTTGGACTCAGTTGAAGCGTGTCGAGACAGAGCTGATATTAATTATTCAAACTGTTCTTCTCCATGTTTAGTTTCTACAAGAGGAAAAAATAAAAATTAAAGTTACCAACATCTGCAGCCATAAGACAAGTACCAATCTATGGTGGTCGTTTTATTATTATACGTTATATTCCAGTTAAAGAAAACCTGTCTAAAAACACACTAAATGCTGAGACTATGGAGAAGATTTCTTTTCCAGAATAGAAGTTTTACAGATCATAAAGGTTATAGAAAAGAGTGACGGTCAGACAACTTACACGRAAATAGGAAATAAGATGCAGGAAGAACTCGCTCCATCAGAAATATCTCTACAAGCCCAACTTTGCATKTTCTGAATACATTAAAAAGTATGGCCTCTCAATCAGAAGAGTTTTGGGAAGTAAAATATCTTCCTGATACTTTTTTAGAGTCTTGTTTCTACAGTAAAAACACAGAGCGGAGCGGGMCGGGGCAGGGAATTAAATGTCTCTGGAAATGTTTCTGAGATCAAAATGCAGTCTGTTGATGATTATCTTACACACAGAAAGTTGGCTAGAAACAGAAAAGAAATCTGTAAAATACTTGTGAATTAAGCGAGCGTATATCTGACAACATTTTATATGATATGCACATTATAAACAAATCAGGTTAGCTTTTCTCTCCACCATACCTTGTTAAACTGGCTCATCCATGGACTGGACTCAGTTTTTAACTCCACAGACTGAGGTTATCAAACAGTAGCCTAAAGCATTTTTTTTCCAAAATAAAATTCTGGAGATTTATTTTAAAGACTGTTCAAACAATTTAGCACAGGCTTTAGTCATAGCTTACATGCACATCTCAGGGAATATTTGCTTCTAAAGATGCAGGAACTGTTATAGAGAGGCATTTTGGCAAAATGCAAAGGAACCAGAACATATTCCAAAATGTGTTTTACTAAAATCTCTGTTTAACTAACAATATGTTGACAATGTTTAACTAGGCTCACTGATGGTTTTTGTGTATCACTTGTATTTGAACATGATCACAATGTGATGAAGTGGGAGCAAAGCAAAATTAACTTGGCAGCACTAAATATGAAAATATGACATAGGTGTTGAAATTATTAAATAAAATTCTATTTCCATATGCAGCTAMTTCCAAAGTTAGCAGACTGATTGGATGGATTATTTTATTCTAATTAGAGAAGTTCTTTTAAAACCTAAGATACGTTTTGTGTCGGAAAAAATCTAACATATTTTGCAATTTTAAAATGTCATAATCAGTCATGTGCTTCGATGCATTCCTGCCAGCAGTCTGGTTCTTGGTTTGATTTTTGTGCACTCAGATGGATTTACTGTACCTGTGGTTGTGCAGGTGATGGGGCATCAGAATTCTGAGAGGGCTGTTGGCTCTGTTCCTGCCTCTGGGGGATAGCAGGGATGGATCCTGATCCACCACCTGCTCCATCGTGTGCTCCCGGGCCTTGATGAGACAGAGCTGCCTTAAGTCGCTGCAAAGACACACACACAAAAGAAAACACTTAATGTAGCTCCGATAATGTCAAGCTCTCAAAAGAAAACAAATAAAACTTGTGTTTTTGATTGATTTTGTCAGCTACAGCACAATTAGATGTGTAATGGGTAAATAGGTGGTTGTTCAGAGCCTACAGCTTCTAAAACGACAGTGTGACTGGTGATCTCACTATCTTGGTCTCAGTGTGAAGGCCATATCCGGACGGGGAGGATGAACCACTACTGACTCCTCCAACAGGGGGTCCTGGAATCCCGGGGATGTTAGGCACTGTGTTCACTGGCCTCGCAAGCTTCAAAACGAACCAAATATCAACAAAAATGAAAAGAGAAAAACAAATRTGAGGAGAAAATACCACTTCAAACRTGGAGCATTGTGTATTTCTTCCAAATCTTGACTTACAGATATAACTGAGGTTAACTGCACTGGGCTGGGCAAAAGAGGGACAGTCTGCCCATTAGGGAGGTGCCTCACCAGTGGATATGCACTTGTGGGAGATCTGTTGGCAATATGAGACACTCATACAGTAAATGAAACAAGTCCGGTAAAAGCTGTAATTGTTTCTTGTGTTTTGAGAYTTTTTCTGCAAGTATTCCTTATGTCATCAGACATAAATAAAAGCAAACAGGAGCGCCGTGTAATTTACCCAAGCTGCCTGTTGGAAGGTGGAGCTTGTGTGATTACAGACGTTGGAGAAGGCAGAGTCGGCTGTAGTGGGTCATTACTTAAGTGAAGGGGAAGAGAACCTGGACGTACAATAGTTGAAGTGGGAGCAGAAATAGCCAAAGGTTTTGTGAGAATCTCCTGTAAAATAAATTTTTTTAAATTAATTTATTATCTGAATTTATGAAGAGTAGATCTGTAAAGGCTTTAGTAATGAACATGATTTGTGTCATTGCTTTGCATCTTGCGTCCCACCCTTGAGTCTCTGCTGTTTTCAGACATGCTGGATGAAGAGTCAGGACTTTCAGGAGGGGACGAATCAACTTGTAAAGAATCCTCTTCCTCGTCTTTTATTTCAGATGGAGTTTGTAATGGTGCAGCCTAAAAGACCAAAAACAAAAGATGAGTATTCCTGGAAAGTCTTCTGCTGAAATAATAACTAAAGGAAAGCAAACATTATATCAAAGATTCAATGCCTATTTTCCCCTCACAGTGTGTTTTGTTCTTTGCTCATCTTCATGCGTTTTGCATATCTCCTGGTCAAAGGAGCCGGCTAGTTCATTGAATAGACCAACCTCCTCACAATTCTTCAGGAAACGTGTGGGGGTGGGGGTCTGGTCTAAAAAATAAGAAAAGAAAAAAAAAAAACACAATTTATGGCAAAGAGTTATCTTCTTCCAAGAAGATAGCATTACATTCAGAGCATTGACAGATGTATTATTCTTTTCTTCAAGTTAATTCAAAACAAGTAATTTATTATATAAAGAGTTACCTGCAATAATCACAGAGTCTGTCCTGGTGGGACCAAATTTTAATGTCATTTCATGTTTGTGTTTGTGCACTGACAGGTGGTCTTCATTAGTGAATCTCTGTCAAAAATAAAAAGGTAAGTTTACGATCAATTGCATCATAAAGATATAAGTTTCTCAATACAGTACAGAAACATAATTTTAAAAAAACTAACTTACAACAAATTTTAGATAACAGCAACTTCTCACTAAAAGTATTGTCCAGAAATGATATTGGACACCATGCGTAATGATTTGTAAACAGCTGAGTACATTTACAATCACAAAACACAAGCAACAATGAAACAAATTGGTTTTGTTGTGTGAAACTCCACGCTGTCAATCTCAGAGTGAAAAGGTAAATGCCTCTAGAGTGACATGTGCATGGTGTGAGTGCTTCTGTCTGTCATAGCAGTAAAAGTGTAAAGTGTCTGTGCTGCAATTAGGGGACTAAATTCAGAATATGTGAACTGTAAAGAGAACTTTAAAAACGTGCCGAGCTTGAGAGAATTTACCTGCCCACACCCAGGGGCAGTGCAGACAAAGGGTCGATCGTCCCCCATCTCAAACGTCCTGCGGTACAGAGCAAATCACATTTTTATACTCCAACCTCACCTCACCTTACAAAGCACTAACATATTATTAACGATTAATGAATATTGTTTTTTAATGACTCTTTCCTCATTAATATGCACTGAACTTAAATTATTGTGAATGATTATTCAGAATCAATCAATGAGTGGTGTAAATAAACTGCTGTCATCTTCCAGTATAATGAAAGGCATGCACCTGCACGCAAAAAGCGCTCAAACTACACCCAGTAACAGCTGGTCCGGAGGAAGGGACACAGGCCGAACACAGTGGCCCGTCCTACGGGTCTGTTATGGACTCGACGGTGRACACTCAGGGACACGGCTTCAATAAGGCAGCGGGAAGAAAAAACAACCAAATTCATCCCTCAGCGTTGGTCCGTTTTCGTTGTTTAGCTACATATCTTCAACTATCAACAAACAGATTAAGCTAAAATGCAAAATCTTTGCTTGTTTTGACTTTCTGAAGATGGGCCCAGATGTGTCACGTCCCTTATCACATTAACACTTCTACTCTGATTAACAGTGTCATTATAACAAACGTGTGAACAAAAACAAATTACAGAAAGCCATGTACGCAGTGAAAGCTTCTTTTTTTTCCCAGTAACATGCAGTCTCACCACAACTAGCTAAGCACATGCTAACAGCTAAACGAAGCTCTAGTAGCTTTCTTTGAGAATTTACACTAACACGTTACAAGCTAATGCTAAAGACATCCGTTTGGCAACTCCTCGGCACACGTACATTACGCTTCGTSAACAGTGACACGATATATTTAATTAACAGTGTCGTTATATGATGTGAAATATGCCATAACTCACCGGACGTTTAAACTGCCTCTTTACTCCCCCTCCCTGCTTCGGACAGTTCTGCTGGCTGTACTGCTGTTGACACTCTGACGCTTCCATTGACAAAGTCTCGCGAGAGCTAGAACTCTGAGCCGAGAATTACGTAACAGGATTCATCTGTTATGGATGTGTAATGCCGAATCCAAAAGGGTACTCTGAATTTGTGCATATCATTCGACTTTTGCGTTTATATAACATTTTTACGTAAAACCCCACATAAAATCTGATCAGTTCTGTTAGCATCAAGCAACAACGGCGTCTCCTGAACATATTTTGTTAAGACAATTACAGCAGTTACATAATCTTTAGTTATTTCCGGATGTTTACTTGGCAGATCATCGTGTTTTGAGTGCAGCAGCTGCTGTGTGGCATGGCTGYTCCTTCACAACTAAATGGTATTTGTCAGCGTCTCCCATAGAATCCATTATGATAAAAGCAAATCAGTGCAAAAACCAACAAAATAAACAAGATGAATTTTGAAAAATATTTTTATTTTGTAGACAGCCATCAACAAGAATCTAAAATGTTGAAATATCAAATAGCAACTCGGAATTAATTTATTCTCTCTGATGTGACAAGATTTATTTATTTTTACAGTGAACTAGAACTGCTTAGTGACATGTTGCTGAAAATAAATATTGTAAAGGCAATCAGGATTTGCTTCAAACTCTACACAATTTTTACACAACCAAGCTTTCTCTTTTTTTGACTTGCATTTGCTAATACCTTACTTTAACCTTTATGCACAAAATGAGCATTCACATGAAACATTAATTTATTCCTTTAAAGTATTAAACACCTTAGTCAAATTAATTTGATTAGTCAGCACATTTCACGTATTACGAAGAATTTCATGGAGTTCTTAATAAATCAGTGTTACAAATTGAAAACAACAGTTCCCTTGTGTGGATGATCACATTACTCAAATGCAATGACAACCCAGAACATTGTTCTACACAAAGTGTATTTATATTCAGTAATAGTACAAGCAGATGCTCCCCAGTGATTGGATCCATTAAACAAATTCAAACTTTCATGTTCCATCAAAGCAAATTTAAAAAAATATCACCAGCTTAATGCAAGACACTAATCAATCCAAATACACCAATTAAACAGTGAAAATATATTCATTAGAAATGTGCTTCACTTTTATCTCCCGTTTGTTGCCAATTAAAACTATTTTAACATTTCCTACTGGCAGCGGTGCTCTAGAAATCTAAAAGTACAGAATACATGCATACCACCATAAACTGTGAACTAATAAGTGCCTGTGGTTGTTTGAAAGCTTAATTTCCTTCCAGTCCAAAAAACATACATGTTGATCTGTAAGCCCACACTGACTGATGGTTGTCTTTTTGTTACCCACAGCATGCAACAACCAAAGTTAGAACCCAAAATTAACAGAACATGTTAACTTTGATGTTTAAGTACCAACATTGGTTATCTTTGATACATTTCCCCCTCATACTTGAGTTAAAAGACCAACAGTAACTGGAAGGTATTTGACAATTCATGTTTGTTATTCCTGAGCAGATTTTCTACAGATATTAAACTCAAACTGAAAAGACAATATACACAATATCAGGGTATTAAATGAAGTTTACCCATTGATAAATAAGTCAATTACAAATAATATGAACCTCTAGGATTAGCAACTTGCAACTAGCAATTTGAGTCCAACAACATAATATGCTTTGCTCTTAATAAAAAAAAGGGGGGAGGGGTCCAGGAGGTCACAAAGACAAGACTGTGTGAAAACATTTGATAAAAACAAGACAAATATCACATATTCTTGTTTAAAAATAAGAACATATGCAAGCCAAATGAAAAGGCATTAGAGCTTTCCCCCTTCCCGGTTCTAAATAAGTTTGCTACATCTGGACAAAAGTAAAAAGAAAAAAAAAAAACATCAAGATTGGTTTTGTTATGGCAAAGTCAAAGAGAGAAAAATAATTCGATATAAACAAATCATTTTCCTCTAACAATTAAAGCGTAAAATATTTGTAATCAAAACTTGAACAATTCAAAAATATTAAAAGCACAACAAAAGCTACACTAACCTTTAAATGTTAGCAATCTAGTTTCTGCTGCAAAGAAGTTCAAACAATTGAAATCAATTAAGTACTGTAAAAGAAAAACCAAGTTTCCAACACATAACTAGCATTATTTATACAGCAAGATTTAAAATCAAGCAACTAAAACTTTCTTCAATCATTGTTTCTAAACTTTTAAAAAGTAACTTACTGCCTAAATTTCATCATTTCATTAAAAAATCATATATTCAAACAATACTGACAAGATTTAAGCTAAAGATTTTTTTCTTCTTACACTAAAGCTATTTTAATTGCCAGAGTCTTTTATCTTCATTGTTCCAATAGTTGAAGCATTTGTCAAAACCTTTGTGAAATGACTTAGAAAAATGAACATATTTACAGCTGCTGAATGTCAAAAGAAACAGATTCCAAATACCATAAACAAACTGAGGCACTCYGTTGGTAAAAATTTCAAGGGTTAAAGCCGACTGATCTCACCCTTTTTTCTGAAATTCTTTTTCTTCAACTGAGGAAAACTGCCTCAAGAGAGGTAGCGTGGCCCATGCAGTTCTGCTCAATTCTAGTTTTCCTTCTCTGCTTTCGTTTGGGATTTCTCCCACAGACGAGGGTTTCTCCGGTAGAAGGAAAAACGAAGAACAAGAGGCTGGTTTCTACCACGCTACAAGATAGGAGGTCCTGCACTGATCACAAACACAGATTAACCTGCTGAGACCGAGCAGAACGACTGACTCCTGATACCATTGTTTCACTATTCGTGAATTACCGCTACGTTATGTCACAAATACACATTTAACCTTTCAGGAAGGCATGATGCTACTTAACATCTATAATTACACCCAAAAATGTGTTTTCCAAAAAGTCAACCAAATTTTTTTAAATACATTATCAGTTTGCAACATGAAAGATTCATTGACCAAGTTTGTCTAAAAGAAATATATTCATTTGTCTATTTACATATACTGTATTATATATTTACATATATAGTTATGGTTTTAGGATTTTAGGTAATGTCTTAAAAGTTTTATTTTGGAGAAGTGGGAGGAATGTTTTGCTCCTTTCCACTGCGTTTGCCTCCCCGGTGAAGTGAAGACCATTTGTCCCTCTGATGCTCCCGTGTCTTTAAACCTGAACCTCTCGCTCTAGAATAACCCGGCGCCCCTCTGAAGCTGCGTGAAGGTTGCCGAGGGGGACGTTTATCTTCTGGTTCCTCTGGAGTTTGCCTGGAGTTGAGCCGAGGCTGCTCGACTGTATTGACCTTGAGCTCCTGCAGTGGCTGGCTGTCTGGGGTAGCAGGAGAGGAGGGACATGGTGACTGTGCTGGTGGCGGGTCTCTGGCTGGTCTTTGGCACACCTCTGCATAGCTGAGCTTCCTTTGCCCCTGGTGAGAGAAAGAAACGTTTGACGAATGCCTCAGCTCATCAAAGTCTTTGTACACAGCAGAGAGAAGGTGGACACAGAATGTCTTCCTGAGAAACAACCAAGAGTTACAAGAAGCATGGCAGGCTGGACGATGAACTATTTACCAAGAAAAAAATCTGGCCCATGAGCAAACGTATTATTCCATTTTATGAACTGCATCTTTTTTATTCTACATTTTAAAACTACCATTACCATTTAAATTGTAAACTATATCAATGGTTTTGTGAGTCCACTATTACACTTAAAAAAGACTTTGTGGAAGAGCTGATCTTTGAATCTATGTAGAGCAATAAACTGATGTTACAAACACAGATGCAGTTTAACAGATTTGAAGAGCGGGCCTTACCTGGTCTGATTCTGGAGCTGAGATAATCGTTTTTTCTGTAGAAACRGCCTGCTCAGACACAGTAGGAGCAGGTTCTGAAGCTTCTGTAGATGCAGGTTCTGTAGGCGGAGAGAATTTTTCCTCTGATTTGATCTGTTCAGTTTTATCTTCTTTTATTGCTGGTGAAGAAGTACTGAAAACAAAGAGGATATAATGTTTTAAAAGTCATTTTACTGCATGTGTTTGGGTTCTTCACTGGCATTTTATTATAAGTTACCTTGATGTTTGTMCGGATGTTGTTGGTGTTCCAACAAGAGCAGGTTTAGAAGCTACAGACTCAGAACATTGTTTGCTTACAGGGCTTTCAGAGTCTTTTGCACTTTGTGTTGAGTCCTCATGGTTCCCTGACTGAAAGGGAAGTGAAGGAGAAAAATAAAAACATAGATGAAGTACATTTCTGCATTTAAACATTCTACTGTGGGTTTAAGTTAAACAGCACAGCTCACCTTAGTTGGAACTTTGATGCCACGGACAACATCAGAAAGGCGCACCTCTGTCGAAGCCTCTACATGCATCGTGACCAGAGATCCTGGCAAAGGAGGAAAACTGGAAGCTTCCAGGTCAAAGTTAAGAGGGGCTGCTTTGGTCTGCATCACAGGGACAGGTTTCTGCATTTCATTTAAGGATGGGAAAAACAATCCAGATTTAAAACCACACACAAGTTTCTTCCAGGATATCAAAACAGATTAAAATAATAAAATAAAAGAAGGAAATCTACCTACCAAGGTATGCTCATCTTCTCTTTTCCTCCTCATTCCTCTATGATTGCCTCTCCTGCAAGTTAGATTTAAATTCAACTATAAACAATACAGACAATCAATGTAAAACTAACATTGTCTTACACACTACTCACATACCTGCAAACTCAGAAGGGATGCAAAAGATGACAACTTATTGGGGGTTACTTATTTTTAAAAATCTATTTAAAAACTATGCATTTTCCAGCCATTTGAAGAGCACTGTTCTAAATACTTAGTATTAATAAAAACATTCAGATCTAGATGATTCACACAAGGGACATATTTTGTTTTGAAATGAATGAATCTCCCCAAAAAGGGACAAGTTTGCAGGCATGTACTCAGTGAACAAATACAGACTCTACAATATCTTACCGATCTCGTCCAGGCCGGCCCAGATTTGACATGAAGGGCAATGAAGAAGTGTCTTTAGGGTCAAAGGAGGACAGAGACACCRACTGTGTTCTGCTGCCAGACAGTGTTTTTGATGTTTGGAGTTCCTGTGGAGTCAGGGGACCAGAGGTGCCGTCCATCACCGTCTCTTTAGCCAAATTAGTAAGGGCGACATCTCCACATCTATGATGACTTTTTACATGGTTTCTAAATAAATAAATAAATAAATAAATAAGACAGGTTTGATACTCTGTTGAAATGTTATGGTAGAAAACCCATTTACTGTAAATTAGAGTGGGCACTTAAATGAGCTACAGCGCATATCTTTCTGCTGGGCAATATGACCCAAACTTTATATTACAGTTTTTTCAACAATTATACCGGTATCATGGTATTTGAAGGTAGTTCTTTTCATCACAGTTCAGCTGATAAAATGTACAAATGCTGCTTATTGATCAGTCCAGTCAGCTTAAATTACTCTCTTTCTGCAACACGTAAACTATTTATTGATTTTTCTTTTTTTTGCTGTACCTCTGTGTTGCTGTTTCCCTCTACATATCTTTTCTTCTTTGCCTGGTTGTAGACATTAGTTATGCATTTAGGTATGGTCGTGAAGAATGACAGATGAGCAAAGATCATTGTTGCATCTATCTTTGTTCTTTTGTGTTATTTAATAAGCTTAACGGGACGACTCAGCCTCTGTGCACCAGTCAACTAATCTCAGTACACAACTACTTCCCTTGGGCTTTTCACAATAGAAGCACATTAATGTCTCCATATTAACGTTGTGAATTAAATCTATCCGTGCACGTCACTGAAGAGGTGTATACAACATTCAGCTTTGGTGAAAACAGGAGATGTTTTTTAACGTCAGTCGATATAAGCAGCTGAATTGCCACCCGCTGACAGTTATTGAAAAGCTGCTAAAGCAATAGCATTAGCTTAATGTGCATAGCAGTGCTATGAGGAAAAGTGTCCCCTGTGAAATGGTTTACCCATATACTGTCCAGCACAAACATATAAGTATAGTTAAAAAAACACTAAATAACTAATGTCTAGACCAGGGGTGTCAAACTCCAGTCCTCGAGGGCCGCTATCCTGCATGTTTTAGAGGTTTTCCAGCTCCAACACACCTGATTCAGTGATTGAATTAACTCTTCAAATTGGGCAGAAGCCTGTTAATTACCCAGCGATCAAAATCTGGTGTGTTGGAGCAAGAAAACCTCTAAAACATGCAGGATAGCGGCCCTCGAGGACTGGAGTTTGACACCCCTGGTCTAGACAGTATTTCATGACAACACCAACTCAAGACTGGACATGTTTGAGTTTCATGATGCAACTTGCAGTTACCTGTTCCTTCCTAAGGGACGATGGCCACTGGTGGAGCTTGAATTAGTTTTATATCTCCAGGAATTACTGTAACCATTCATAAATGCACCATTAGGAAAGGGTGCCTGGATAGAAAAAAAAATCCAATTATACAACTCATATTTGAAAAATATACATGTTCCAGCATGTGAGAGATGACAAAAGCAAAGCATCAGTTCAGCTGATTTTGTGAATTTGGCCTAAATTTTCACTTTAAAATCCTTAAAAAGCACCCTAAATTGTTCTCACCAGTGGAGTTTCAAAKTGAGGAATGACAGTGGGGTTCCATGTTGGAGACACCACAGGATAGACCGGGTACTGCTGCTCTGGATTGTACACTTGTTGCACATACACTGGAGATGTGTACTGGCCCTGTGGCTGAGAATGCTGTTGGTACACACTTGTATCCACGCTGCAGAAGCCATTCTTTCCAAAGAACGTGTTAATGGCTTTAATGCGAGCCTAGAGGACAGACAGTTAGGTATGTTTTTATAAAGGAAAGAAGCAACAGTTTTAGTGTATGTCTGAGTGGTATTGGTAATTTGTCATCCTTCAGTCCCCTCAGATCTCATAATCTCACGGTCATGAGGCCATAACACACTGCACTAACAAGGAGAAAAGAATGGGGAGTGAAGGTTGGGGGAGAGGCAGGATGAGGGTACAGTGTAGAAGTGAAAATTTAGGTTTTTAAAGCTAGAGGAAGTTACTCCCAGCTAGACACAGTGCATATGGGTCCTTCCAAGCGCGATACTGATCATCACTGGGGCTTTCATAGAATCACTTGCACACCACAGACTTTTGTTTTTTTTAGAGTGGGGATAAAAATAATGAGGCTAATAAGTGATTTATGATGTGCAAACAAACCAACTTAACATATTTGTAAATAAAACATATGTTTAAGAGTTCTGATTTGCACTGGCAAAAAGACTGGGTATTTGAACACACTAACTTTTAAGTACTTCCTAAAACTAAAGCTCAGACTGTCTTACCCAAGAAGATTGAAGTGACATCACTTCTATTGGCAACAATAACTGTACTGAGTGCCGTCATGCATCTTAATTTATGACCAATAATTAAAAACAGAACAAAACAAAGCCGTGTCTGCTCGTTTAAGTTACGTACCATGATTGGTTTCCCCTGGAACATTTTCACTTCCTCTCGTAGATATTTGTATGCCTGTAAAAGGGGAAAAGAAAGGAGAAAAAAATTAATGGAACAAATGATCACATTACAAATAACTGGTTTGTAATTACTGGTTCTCATAACAAGCTGACATGGATATTTCCAGAATTCATCAATAGCAACACTGCCTACAAAAAAGAATGTGTTTAAAAATAATTATTGCAATTATAAACACACACTGAGATCATGATTGTGTATGATCAATATTTGTAATAGACGTTATTTTAGTAAAATGTTTTACTTAACTGTCCTAAAAACATCCAACTGCTTTAACATTATATAATTTATGCCAWTCACAGAAATTTGGTCCAATAAAACCAGCCTATTTGCCCTGTTTGATTTAAGGCTCAATAAATACACATCATTTAGCGTTAAGTGAAAATCATTGCTGACACTAACATGAGAAAAAAAAGTTTTGAAGAGGTGTCAACTGTAGCTAGACTTACCTGCAGTGCATCCATGTCTGACTGAAAAGTTATGTACCAGTTGCTGTTGTGAGCGAACTCTACACTTAATGCTTTTGGACAGTTTTCACTCTTAAAAAGGTCCTCTACTTCCTGTGAACAAAATACAACAACATCTCACACATTTCAGTAACACAAACAGACAATGTCTTCCTCATAAACCTCACAGTAAAAAAGCTACAATACATTGACAATAAATCATTCACAAAATAACTAATTTTAAAGATCACTGACTCACAAAACAATCTTAACTTTAGTGTTCGGCCAGACAATACAGAGGACTGATTTGTATGCATTGTGTGTCTATGTAAACTTTACCTCTACCGGAGTAGTTTCTGGCACCTCTCTTAAAATAATGATACAGCGACTGTGGTTAGGCCGAACTTTCTCGCCAGTCTCATCGACTTGCACCAGCGGAGAAGCTGAAAAACAAACATACCAACACAGGTTTGCTGTAAATATGGATCCATTAGGTTTAAGCCAAACTTGGCAAGCAAGTTGTAAAACAAGTACAACTGTATAGGTTTAATTACTTTATCATATAAAAACTTGCACAAGTTTGAGTTAGTTGGATCATTAGTTTGGAAATTTTACTTAAAATAATGCATCAAGATCTACTTTATATAATGTCAAAAGTGGTTTAACTGATGTTATTGATTAAGTAAAAGAAGCAGAAAAGCTCTCCTACCCCTCAGTACATCCAGAATTAGATCCATGTCAGTAGTCAGAGCTTTGATGTCCTCCATACACGCAATGGTCCAGATGGGAACAAACTGATCACTGTCCATCTGAGACACCAGATACAGATCCTTAGAAAGATTTTCCCTGGAAGCAGAAAAAAAATGGGACTTTTTTCATTATGTCTGCTTTATGAACACTTCTTTTTGGTTCAAAGTAAACACTTGAATAGCTCTCTTCAAACTGGTGGTTAAAGACATGATCAGGGTGTTACTTGTTATTAAAGACTGTCCCGATAACATTTTAGACAACTAATGAACATTTTGTCCAATGCTAAAGAGGTCAATAATGATTGAAGATGGAATAAAATGGAAAAATCCACTGGAAGCCCCTTTTGGACGTATACATAATGAAATGCTAACAATTAAATTGAATATACAGTGCCTTGCGAAAGTATTCGGTTCCCTTGAACTTTTCAACCTTTTGCCACATTTCAGGCTTCAAACATAAAGATATAAATTAATTTTTTTTTGTGAAGAATCAACAATAAAAAACAATCAACAAGTGGGGCACAATTGTGAAGTGGAACAAAATTCATTGGATATTTTAAAGTTTAACAAATAAACTGAAAAGTGGGGTGTGCAATATTATCCGGCTCCTTTACTTTCAGTGCAGCAAACTCAATCCAGAAGTTCAGTGAGGATCTCTTAATGACCCGATGTTATCCTAAATGACTGCTGATGATAAATAGAATCTACCTGTGTGTAATTAAGTCTCCTTGTACATGCACCCGCTCTGTGATAGTCTCAGAGTTCTGTTTAAAGCGCAGAGAGCATCATGAAGACCAAGGAACACACCAGGCAGGTTCGAGATACTGTTGTGGAGAAGTTTAAAGATGGATTTGGCTACAAAAAGATTTCCCAAGCTTTAAACATCTCCAGGAACTCTGAGCAAGTGATCATATTGAAATGGAAGGAGTATCAGACCACTGCAAATCTACCAAGACCCGGCCGTCCCTCCAAACATTCATCTGGAACAAGGAGAAGACTGGTCAGAGATGCAAGCAAGAGGCCCATGATCACTCTGGATGAACTGCAGAGAGCTACAGCTGAGGTGGGAGAGTCTGTCCATAGGACAACAATCAGTTGTACACTGCGCAAATCTGACCTTTATGGAAGAGTGGCAAGAAGAAAGCCACTTCTCAAAGATATCCATAAAGGGTCTAAAGTTTGCCACAAGCCACCTGGGAGACACACCAAACATGAGGAAGAAGCTGCTCTGGTCAGATGAAAACAAAATCAAACATTTTGGCCAAAATGCAAAACGATATGTTTGGCGTAAAAGCAACACAGGTCATCACCCTGAACAAGCATCCCCACTGTCAAACATGATGGTGGCAGCATCATGGTTTGAGCCTGCTTTTCTTCAGCAGGGAAGATGATTAAAATTGATGGGAAGATGGATGGAGCCAAATACAGGACCATTCTGGAAGAAAACCTGTTGGGAGTCTGTAAAAGACCTGAGACTGGGACGAGATTTATCTTCCAACAAGACAATGATCCAAAACATAAAGCAAAATCTACAATGGAATGGTTCACAAATAAACATCCAGGTGTTAGAATGGCCAAGTCAAAGTCCAGACCTGAATCCAATCAAGAATCTTTGGAAAGAGCTGAAAACTGCGTTCAAACTCTCTCCATCCAACCTCACTGAGCTTGAGCTGTTTTGCAAAGAAGAATGGACAAGAATGTCAGTCTCTCCATGTGCAAAACTGAGAGACATAACCCAAGCCACTTCGCAGTAAAAGGTGGCCCCACAAAGTTTAAGACGAATAATTTTGCACGCTCAATGTTTCTGTATTTTGTTAAAAAAAAGATTAAAATATCCAATAAATGTCAATCCACTTAACAATTATGTCCCACTTACTGATTCTTCACAAAAAAAAATACATCTTTGTTTAAAGCCTGAAATGTGGCAAAAATTCGAAAAGTTCAAGGGGGCTGAATACTTTTGCTAGGCACTGTATAAATTATAGAAGTAATTTATTCATAACAAAACGTTCACAAGTCAACTTAAGTTGTCTAAATCATTARTGTGACAGGGCCATAAGGCACATGGGAGAGGAATAGGGGCTGGAGGTGAGTAGAATAACACAATGGTAAAAAGAATACAGCACATTGTATTTTAACAATGATACAGAACTTTTTTATTTTTCTTTTTTGCAATGTTGGTTCACCTTTCGCAAACACTCAAGTTTAAAACCACCTTTATTTCATCTGAATAAATCATTGAAAACAGCAGCAACAATGATCTGTTAGAAAGATATGGCACACTTCTTGGGTGAAAAACTGTTAATGATTTACAAATAAACTCAACATTTACTGTCAGCAATTATAAATCAGCAAAATATATAAAAACTATAATCTTCACAATGCGTGGGTGATATTAATATCACAAAATACTGCAGTTAATGTTGGAGTATTATACTCCATGAACCATACATTATTGTTCTAATTGTCAAAATTACATTTGTTCAGATGGACCTTTGCTGCCCTGGACAGTAGATGGAATGAGAAACCACAAAAGTGCTGAGAACATTTGTGACGAGAGAAAACAAAGTCGTGAGGATAGTGTAGCTTTATCACAACATTTCACCCTATGAGGAAAATTTACAGTTCTTTACAGTTATGATACAAAATAATTTAAGAGGTTATCTTATAATCATTACAAATACACATTTATAGAGGTTGGAACTGTTGTAATTTGCAACAGCAAACAAATATAAAAATAACTTTTTGTTACCACTCACCTAGAAAAGCAGAACTCCAGCACTTTCTTTAAAGATTCTCGCAGGCTCTCTTCAGTCACAACTTGCTCTGTACACACCTCAGTATCTGTAGCAGAACTGTCTTGTGGGTCAAAGATTAAATACCCCAAGTCTGGTTGATCCACATCATGCACGGTACATGGAGGTACAGGGACATAATCAGTGTTGCTTTCCAGATAGTCACAGTAGTCACAGTAGTATCCTTTAGAGTCTTGTAAGGTAACATCTGTGTACCCTAAAACAAAAAGTAATAGGGTGATTGTAAAATGACTCATGTTGACAAAGCAGTACACTAAACCAGAGGTTCTCAAACTGGGGTCCCAGGACCCCCAGGGGACCGTGAGAGATATCTTGGGGGTTCTCAAAAAATTTCACTAAATTGTTAATTTGTTTTTTTTTTTAAATGCATGGAGAACAATAAACTAATAAAACAAATATAATAGACTAAATAAGAATATATATTCCCATGGCATTTAGGGGTTGAAATGACAATAAATTATCTTTTAAAGCAGCATGGGGTTTATGAGGGGGGGTCCCTGGAAATTTTTTGCCATTGTTAAGGGGTCCCCAGACCCAAAAGATTTGAGAACCCCTGTACTAAACTAACCAAGTCACAATTTGCATTTATTGCATACACTCAAAGCCAGGTGTAATAATATCCCGAAGCTCATCTTTTACCTATATTTATCTTTGTAAAGTTCAATAGCCATCATTTATGTAGAGTAGAATAGAATAGCCTTTATTTACGATATGTATTACAATTTATGAACTGGTCATGCTCTAAATATTGTTCAGTGCCATGCCAGTGGAGGAGAGATATTAATTTGTTATGTTATTATGTTACCACAAAAACAAAAACTCTTAAATGGCATTCATACCTTCGGTCATCTCAGCAGGAAAATAAGTCTGCAACCAAGGGGAATCCTCTGTTGCACCTGGGATGTCATCCTGTTGGACAGGAATCTCCTGCCACATTTCAGCATTGGGGTTAAGACCTCCTCCCTTTGTGGTAACCTGGACAAAAGTCAGAGGAAACTATAGTTATGGAAAGCACTTGAGCATCTTAAAATGCATGTTTAGCAGTAAACAACAATGAAGATGTTAACATGATACAATAAAGCTGTATTCCTTACAAGTGACATATTATGTGCAACATTAATTACAATTGGGAAACAGTGTTTGTACATTCATGTACGATGTGTAATAAAATTCTGGAATATTGAGTCTACTTGGATTACCTAAGACAGACATGGCATAATACAATGCACTTGTTTCGCAACACAAGACCTTCCTTTGGCTAAAAATACTTTATCCAATTCAGTGAATGAGTGAAGTGACTTCAGTCCTACAGCCTCTGTAATCCAGCTTTCGGGTTTTGCAAAGTACTCAACACACACGATCCGAGTTTTGATTGGCTTTTCCGATACTCTCGCCCCCGCCTCTCCGCCGTGGATCCGCCTCTAAACTTTGCCTTCCTTCGACAAGGCTCCACTTGGAGAAGTGGTTACTGCGAAATCAAAGTGGGCGTGTCACAAGAGTGGGCGTGTCAAAAGCATAAACACTTTGGGCTGCGAGGCCTGCATGACGGTATCCTTAGATCCTGCTTCATCTCTTTAAAGCCTGACCCCGACCCCAACACTAAGGTTAACCAGGAGAAATGTGACCCAAGTAGGGTTCTCCAGAAAAAGTTGTGCCGTGCAGTAACGCCCCTTTTGTTCTTGTCCAACCAGGTGGTGCCGTACGGCACCTCCCCTTTTTTGCTTGTCCAACCAGGTGTGTCCCTTTAACAAAKTYCGTCAAATCAGRTGYGTCGCTTCAGAATCGCCTTTCCTTGTGACACGCCCACTCGTCCGCAGAGACCCCTACTTGCTACTGCTTGTCACCCATTAATTATAAATAATTGATGTGAATTAAAGAAAACTAGTATGTTCAGTTCAACTCAAGTCAACTTCCAGTTCAGCCAGTCTGCTACACAACCCCTGATCCAACAGCCCTGCCTTAACACGAGTAAAAGTAGCCTTCAACATCGGGAGGAGCACGTGGCGCCGATGTCTGCCACCATACTTTCTGTTCACGCTTTTCAACTCATTCCTTACAGAAAGTATTTGTGTTTAATACTAGATAACCAAAAAAGTCAAATAGCATTGTCTCTGAGTTAAAGTCCAYGACGACCTTTATCTTCTGTGGCCACTCAGCTGCGGGGAGCAAAGGCTAATGTCTAACACACGTCACGTGCCGACGTTGCTACACGTGCAATTTAACAAGTAATCATTTGTTTCGTGAAACTTCTCAAGGAGTTTTTAAGTACGACACAGTTTTACCTAACTCAACGTGTAGTAAATCACACATCTCCAAATTATTTTGTTTGTATTAAGTCGCTGTCGCTTTACCATATGTTATCTCCCGACCACGGTGTCGGAGTGCTAACTAGCTTAATGTTTACTAGCAAACCAGTCGAAATAGATCTCTCTTTACTCACTCTGCTAACCTGAGCTAAATAGTGTTACACAACGTCGAATGGCCGAGAAAGTGAAGATGTGTTTGTAGTAAAAAGGACAATGTAAAACTAAGGTAATAGTAACAAACTGCAGCCATGTCCAGTCAACCTTCAAAGAGCACGCGTGCGTAAAGCCAAGCGAATAAATAAATGAATATGTTGGCTCAGGTGAAAGCCTCCAGGCCGCATACTTACCATGATAACTTGTCCCTCGCTTTTCCCGGTCAACTCCAGTTGTACAAATTGACCTGTTTTCTTTTTTCCTTTCTCTCCTCTTGGGGTGACTTGACCTACGCAGTAACAGGTCCGCCGTCGGCTCTGCTCTGCTCCAGTAGATAAGGTTACTCCAGCGCGGGCTCCAGTTCCGATGGTGCGGCTCGCGAGACGCAACTTCTTTAAAACTCTGTGTAAAAGCTTGACGCTTCCACTATATTTAGCAGAAAAGYGCTTCCCACATTATTAACTACTGTTCCGCTCAACTCCTCATCCCGCCTGTCAGCTTCGCAGTGCAGTGGTTACGCAGCATGTGACAGGCTCGTCCTCAAACTGCCAGGCGGCGGTCTAACCCAGCATCATCGAGCTGCTTCCCCGACCCTCCGGCCTCGACCTTAACTGTGAACGCTGCCCCCGCCCCCCCGACTWACTCCACTGTTTTATCAGTGCTGCACTAGTGGGGCTGATGTAAGCATGCGAAACATAGGAATCACTTGCTTATTGTTTAACTTTTTGAATAACAAAAAAGTTTGCAAATCTTAAGGTCGATAGCTCAAGTTCTGTTAAGTGACCTTGAACGTAACACTTATTACAGCACCATCTACAAGACAGACAACCCAATATGGCAGCTGTTGTTAGGCGCATAGTCTACTGCAGTGGTTCCCAAACTTTTCAGCTTTTGACCCACAAAATAACAGTAGCAGAGACCTGAGCCCCCAACTGTTTCTGGATGATAAACATTTGTATCAGGTC